CGAATAATTTCAGTTTCCCAAGCAAACTGTGGTAACGTTCCTTTTCATCGAAATGTGTAAATTACAAATAGCCAATTAATTTACAGATTGCAAATCTGACTCAATATATCGCCAAATCGCTTAAGTAGCTAGCCACAGTTATGTTAGTTTGAACTCATTCGGCTCTCTGAGCTGGGTCAAACCGACCAAACTGCTGTTAAGCTTTTGATCAACTGACCAAAACAATCGTCCGGTGTTAAGATGACTTCAATATGGCTAGCAAGTACTATTTGTTGATATGAGTGGCACCCAACTACTTATATCATTCAATGAGTAATACATGTCATCATAATTTTATGAAGAAATAAATAACATAATAAAAAGCTGCACTACTGGAATAAATTCTTTTTGGTAACAATAGGAGGTGAATACCTCTGTACTATTACGAATTGACATCTCACGAGTATAACTCCGAGGATATCTCAGACAGTCTCACCAATAGTTAACAACTTGTACCTTTCTAATTCAGCATGGTTAGGATTGATAGGAAAGGATCTAATGCGTATTGGAAGTTAGAGCAACGATAAACAAATATCATAGTATCATTCGTCCTGTATCAGTTGGGAATTATCCATCGTGGATACAGTGAAACAGTGACCTATTTATTAGTTAGGTCTCGTAGTTAAACTGGTAGAATACTGGACTAGTAATCTTAGGGTCAGTGGTTCGATTCCCGTCATAATCTCGATTTTCATTTCACCACCACCCATTATGAAAATTACAAAGAAAGATAACTGAACAGAAAAAATTTAGTACCAACTGGCTATTCTATAAATCCCATTCACAGTGGAGTCATTACAATTTTTAGACAACATAACATTGGTATAAGGCAGAGACATGAATTCAGGTATCTCTTCATGACTAGTCAATTTATTTGACTCTTCACCATGTGGGACTTCCTGGTTCAGTTCTCACCTGACATACTGTTAGTTTAATAAACAGTGGTAAGTCTTGGAAAGAGGAGAACCTATGCATGAGCTTATCAGCTGCACTACGTAAAAAGTACAACACTGTTATTGAAAATTCACAGCTGCAAAGCCTTAAGCCCTGCGTTACACTTCGAAAATAAGGATTGACAAAAAATGTCCTATGTAAAGTCGACAGTAATCTAAAAGGATGTTGACCTCCTGAAAAGTAATTAGTTCCGTTATAATTGCACATCCAAACTGCTGATGAAGAATAACAAACCTAGATGTCAGCTTTACGACCAGCTACAGAGCATCAGGTAATTTTTCATCCAATATTGTCAACGATACTAAACTGACTTTAATTGACGACCTCTTTATATCTAAGCCTTCTTGACTAGCTTTTTTCCCATAGACTATGGAATACATAACGACTGTCGATTAATTATATAAGTTAATAATTCCCATAGTAGCATCAAGAACACAATATACAGCGAAGAGACTCTTTTCAACGAATTCACTATCAAGCTGTACAACAGTTTATGAGTATGGTTTTTAAGAAATTATATCCGGTGAGGGAATTACATCAAAGCAGTGAATACATGAAATAAAAGTAGTAGTATGAAATGCAATTAAAACTAAAATGTTTGTGATTATAATTGTAGTTAAATGTGCAGTAGCAAAACAATTAATATCATAAACAGAATAATAAATAAGGTGTATAGATTTTGGAAAGGGGTGTAAAATTATAGGATTAGTAGGCAAATTTGAAATGTTACATAACATGGTGTGAAATTTTATGAGATTGAATTCAATATTGTGAAAAATAATTTTGGATTTAGAATGAAAAGTGGGACAAGCGGAAACAATTCAGAGGGAGAATGTAATTGTAATAATAATCGCTGTAATAAGGGATAGGTTCATAGAATAATTAAATAAACAAAATAAATAAATAAATAAATGTCTATTCCTTTACGGTCAAGGGAGAAGTAAGGATTGTATGTACTTCTTTTGTACACAAAGGTCTGGCTTAAAGTCATGAATTGCTAAGGCCTGCGTTGCCTTCAGAAGTATGTAACGAAGAAAACGCGTTTTCTTACAATATTGAATTCTTTTTCATAAAATTTCACACCATGTTATGTAACATTTCAAATTCCCCTACTAATCCTATAATTTTACAACCCTTTTCAACATCTATACCCCTTATTTATTATTCTGTGTATGACATTAATTGTTTCGCTACTGGACATTTAACTATGATTATAATCACAAACATTTTAGTTTTAATTGCATTTCTTACTATTATTATTTCATATATTCACTGCTTTGATCTCATTCCCTCACCGGATGTAATTTCTTAAAAGCCATATACATATACTGTTGTACAGCTTAATAGTGTTATATTAAATAAACTTATCCAATGTGGAATGCATCAGAATGACACTTTAACGACTATCTTAATTTTCATGATTATTATTCACTCCGAACTGTTACATCCTTTTTGACCAGCACTACCATTTGTCTTCAGGATTAATGTATATATGTATTTAATAGCGTTATTTTAGAAGAAAATATTTACACGACGCACAGAAATCTCAGCGTGATTAGTTGCAAACAGGATCTTCAAGTAAAATATCACGTGACGTGGTTCTCTTCGATCCGAGGTATAAGCTAATCACTTACGATATTTCCCCTGCGCTTCTAATGGTTAGAAAGCCAGTCAAAAATGTTCGTGAGTACATTTTGTGACTCAAGTATATAACGTGATGGTCATAACAATAAGAACTGGAGGGAATATGATGCTATATGTTAGATAGAAATTCAGGTAAACCGGGATATGAAGCAGGCCGTCGAATAAGTGGCTTTTACTTCCATGGGAGATTTCGTTTCGCCAGTGGCACAGCCGTTAGGACACCCGCCAACAATGCAAATGGACGGGGATTCGATCCCCTGCCAACGTACACCTGATATCAGTGGTCGGTCTGCGAAATTTGGGCTACTGATATCACAAGCCGAAAATTCCATAGCTGTGGCAAAAGTACTGTGTGGAATGAAGTTATAATAAATAAACGTTTACTAGAGAACTAGTGAAAATTAGGTTTTTTTCATTCTAGTGAAGAACTGACCAAATTACTGAGTTATAACGTCTTTGTTAAAAATAGTCGGCTTTCACTAGAGGATTTAGTTTATCATTCCTTGAGATTTCGCTTCCTTCCGTTTATTTCATCGCGGCAACTAGTCAAACCTCAGACATATGAAAGTAGTTTCAAAAAAGAGAAATGAAATTTGTTTGACTACAGATTGTTATCAGTTGGAGAACTAAGTAGTACTGAGCAGCTATTTCAACCTAGTCTGGAACTCCTCGGTAGTGAGCACTCACGAAATAGCCCACAGGGAATCGAACCCATGACCTCCAGTTTACAAGGTGATCTCTCTATTAGTCTAGTTATCATATTGTTATTATTGTTTCCTTTAATTCCTAGAGGAACATAGGGCTTCAGCCGTGCGTCTCCGTTGCGTTCGGTTCTCTGCTAGAGTATTCACCTGGCTCCAAGTCTGCCCACACGCTTTCATCTCCTCTTCACATGACCTCCTCCAAGTCACCCACCCTTGCACTGACGACCAACTAGCCACTTCCATTTCGCGTTCCACTCGAAGGCTCGTCTAGTGATGTCACTTGATGGTTTCCTCAGAGTGTGAGCAGCCAATCCATCTCCATTTCTTCCTGCCTATTTGTTTCACAACTGGTTCCTGGTTGGCCCGCTCATTGCCAGAGATCCCTCTATGTTGCTGATCTTTTCTGGCCGGCCATCTGATCTCGAGTGGTGTTGAGCGAAGGCAGCTGTTGATGACGGTCTGTAGTTTGTTTGAGATGCTGTTTATGACGCGCAGTGCAAGTCTCTGATCCGTATAGTAGCACTGACTGACTTCACATTCGAGTTGAAAATCCGGATCTTATTTTCATTTTCATGCTGAGTGCTGTTGACCTCCACACAGACTTGAGGGTAGTGAAAGCTTGTCTTGCTTTTCCGATTCTTGCTCTGACATCCTCGTCAGTTCCGTTCGCCTATAGTTGAAACGATGCTTCCCAGGTCGGTAGGTAAAAGAGGTTTTTTCTTTCAGGTTTCTTCCATTTATGCTGATTGTTACTTGGACGGAAACCACTGGCCTATGAATTCTAACTTTTGTCAACTGGCAATCAAATTCATAGACATGACGACCGATCTTACTGTCTAATGCTTAAAAGAACAGAACTTGCAGTCGTAATCACTAAATATGGATTTTCTATCACTACAGCTAAGTAAATTAATAAATCAAATAAAGGTAATTTGACCGGAAAATTAATGCATAGACAAAAACAGTGGGAATATTTCCTTTTCCATTGCTTTACGTCTGAACGACGTATAATGCTTATTGTAGAATTTGTAGACACATATTATGACTGGTCGTACAGGAGAGGATGATTTATAATTTCATTTAAAATAACGGATTTTTTCTCATTACGAAACTGAATATAATTTGAGGAGTTATCCATACTGAAGGAATTCTCTTCTAATGTAGCACCCTAGAGATGAATTGTTGCTTGTTATCTCCTTTGACTGGAAAAATAAAGTTATCTGGGCTCTTGAAAAACACCAAAAAATGTTGGTTACATTTCCCAACAAACCTTCCATGATTTACTTGTAGTATAGTGATCCCTGTCGCCTGGTGGATAATGCATTGATGCGTTGGTGGTTCAGTTACAGAATACCGGCCAACCACGCCCCACGTAGTCAACGGTCCGATCTCCGGCCAGCCAACTCCCTACACCTCGTTTAACTGGTTGTAAGAACGGTTGTGGCTGAAGGTTAGTCATGTGGCTAGCAAGTCCTGTAGACAACACCACTGCCGCCGAAACCTTAAAGAGCGAGCCTGAAGCCCTACGTTCCACTGAGAACGCAAAGGAATAAAACAACAACTGATCTCATGACTTCTGTTTTATCGTTTGTCTTTTTTTAAAATTTTCACTAATCATTTCAATTGCTGTTATCTTATTTTATTTTATAACATTTATAGTATCATCGGCAAGAACAGAAATCATATTTTACAGCATCTGTTGACACCGAGCAACAAGCCTATCACAATTACTGTAATACACTGTTATATTTCAATTCAGCTTTCACTGTTATGTTCTCAATTGAATGTATGCTAAAGATTATGGCATTTGGACCAAAGGTTAGTTTTTCTTATACAGTGCAAAAATGGTATACACCTGTTTGTATGTAACTTCTTTTGTGTGTAACTTGTGCAGTGTGGCGGCACTCTGAGAATTCCTTTTGGGCACTTGTTAGCATCTCATCCCATAAAATTGGATTTTTAGTGTCAACAGGTACAGCGAATATAAAGAAGCTTTTTATTAACACTGATGAAGATAAACAAGCAACAGCAACAAACAGCACCAGTCACCATCAACTGGAGAGACTTAACAGAGGTAACCTCCTTCACTTTTATATGGGAATCATTGTTTCAACTAAAGGAAGATGGTACGGATGAGGATGTCAAAGAAGGCCAGAATCGGAGATCCAAGCTATTCCTTCATCAACTTGAAACCAGTTTGGAAATCTTCTACCTCCAGTCAACATAAAGAACAAGATTGGCATTTTCGACACCGATGTCAAGCCAGTCATTTCTTTTGTACAGGTCAGAAACATGCACTGCGTGTCACAAGAAGGATTTTCAACAGGTTTCAGACTGTTATCAACAGCTCCCACCTTCGCTTGCTCCATACTGAAGATCGAATAGCAGGCCAGAACGAATTAGCAACAAGAAACTCTGGTTGGGAACAAACCAGTGAGCACGAGTCGATCACTCAACAAATATGTAAGAGAAAATGGAGATGGATCGGACCTACATTGAGGAGGCCAGTGAATGACATCACGCGCACTGCAAGCCATCGCTCGATTGAAATCCCAATGGGAAGTGACGAGTGTGTCGTCGGTGAGATGCTTACATGAAGGAGATCGTATGGCGAAGAGATGAGAGATTATGGTCAATCGAGGACCCAGCTGAAGAGGACGGCAGAAGATAGGACAAAGTGGAGGTGTGTTGTTCAAGCCCTATGTTCCAATCGGAACTCAAGGGAATAATAATAATTTATTAACACTCATGATTGTTCACTGATACATATGAATCGAACTTATCAGTTTCATATGGTCTCCTTGAATGTAAGCTTCAATATTGCCATGAATACTAATTTGACGTTACGCGTCTGTTATTGGCTAGCAGTGGAATCCATGACTCGCATTTCTTCCTGAGATTTATTTGCCTAGTGGATAACACTCTGGAGTTTGAAAAGATGTGTATTGAGTCCCAGTTTCACAAGCGCCACAAAGACTCACTTGAAAACAGGTACATCCAACTGAAAATTCCCAGACAGGACGAAGAAAGCGTTATGAATTCCTTTGCTGACAGCTACCAAAAGAGGAATTTCAAGAAGCTATATAAAAGTCTACTGTTAAGTCTAATTGTAGATAGCAATTAAGTGTTCCGTAGACGACAAAAATTTGTTTTACTAAGTCGACAAAACCTTCGGCTTCACTGAGCCATGCAAATATCAATAGAAAAAGACTGGCCAGTGACCATTAGGATAACACGTTCTTAGGAAAAATGGGTATCATATTTATGTATGGCTGACCACATTAAAATTTGGTGAGATCAGCGAAAAATAAAATATTTGATTGGTTAGCTGTTAGCGCAGGGCAAAGGTCAAAACCAAGGTGAAATTTTATCGTGGAGTCAAAGTCACCTGAACACAAAATAATTCACATGATGAATCACAAGATGACTACTATTGGTTAGACAGAAGTTAGTAACTAGTCTAGTGCGTCTAGTCCTTTGTTCGGTGCAGACTGAATTCCTTTAGTCCAGTGTGCAATGCGGCTACCAGTCTAGGTGGATCGCCATCACGATACACTTTGAAATGTTAATATCAGATAGTTGGAGGCAGTCGGCAGGAAGCTCTGCTTGACCTAGGTTTCGTGCTAGTTGGCACTCGTCAGCAGGACTTATCTGGAACTTTCAGGGAACTCATGTCCCTTCTGAAATTCGAACCCAAGTCACTACTGTTTTAGCCACTTTCTGTCAGTCTGCCTACATAAAAATGAACAATTATCTTACTAATGACTTCCAACAGACAAGGGTACTTGTTTAAATTCCTTTCTCAAACTGAAGCGTAACGCTTAACATCAAAAGATTCAAGTGGAACAAATAACAGATAATAAAAGTTTTGCGGTATTTACAACATTCAGTTCTTCTTGTGGAAGTCGTAAAAAAAGGTTAAATGTATTTTCGAGACACTTTTCAAACATTCTAATCAAATATTTTGCTTGCCGTATGTATTTTTACAAAGGTTAATAGGATACAACATGTGAAAATTGAATCGATATAGATAAAAATTTTGTAAAATCAGGAACAATATCAAGTTTTAGTTTACTCCATATTTCTTTCCCCTACATTTAGCTTTGATGTTAGATGTTTGGAGGCAATCGGCAGGAAGATACGCCTGGCTGACTGGCGAGTGCCAACTAGCACGAAACCTAGGTCAAGCAGAGCTTCCTGCCGGTTGAATCCAACCATCTATTATCAACAATTAAAGTGCATCGTGATGGCAAGCCACCAAGAATGGTGACAAATTTGACTGATAGAATTCAGTCTGCACCAAAAGGAAGGATAAGATAGATGACATCAGTTATCTACCAGAGCTACAAATCTCCATTATATATATATATGTTTCTTGGTTAAAAGGTTAATTAAGTGATCAAAGCCAGAAATAAGTAGTGAGATAAAACTAAGGGAAGATATTATTATGTAAACAACTCATGGTTATAAATTAGATTACAAAGGTAGGTTTGATTTAATAACAAACAGGATTTTTATGACAAGGGATTCAATAAACATTTTTTCAAGTGGATCCAGAAGCTATTTGTCTATAATACAGTTTCCGTGTGGCTCATAGTTGAAATGCTTGTAAAAAACGCGCTGGCAGTTTTCTCAATATTTCAGAATTTCCTCTTTCTCATTTATCAATCAATATATTTTAAAATACGAAATGTCTATAGCAATTAACTTGATATATATATACAAACATTTGTTTTAGATACAGATTATGTAGATTATGTAAATCTAGTCTAATTCACGCTGCGCTCTTCTTTTCTTTTTTTTTCTGTTATTGTTCAGAACTATTTTCGTGATCGTTGGAACATTTTCGACTTTATCACTGTCATAGGCAGTATAACTGATGTATTAGTTTCTGAGCTTCAGGTAAGTAAAAATAATCACTCCCGTTATCAGTTTATCACACTGATATAATAAACTCTTGAAATTAATTTTAGATTTTTTAAAAACATAAAACTGGACTCATTATTATCTTCACTACTTGTAAAAAAAATTAAATATCACTCAGTAAGTAGGCATGTTCCTTTTAGAAAAAAAGAGAGATAATCAAGAAACTGAAGTGTTTTGGAAGTCATTTTGAATTTAACAGAGATTTTAGGTGTCAAGGAGTAAGACAAGCTGGCTGCCTACTATCGCCAGTGATTTTACTGATTGCATTAGATTGGATAATGCGAAAAACAGCGGACAATGAGGAAATAGGCATAAAATGGACTCACACAAAAAACCAACTTGGAGGATCTGGACTTCGCCGATGATATATGTATGCTTTCCCACAAACTGGAAGATATGCAAGCGAAAAGCAACAAGTTGGCAGAAGAAGCATCAAAGACAGGACTTCACTTCAGGTGAACATAGAGAAGACAGAGGTGATGTAGATTCCTGGACAACACCACCAATAGTAACAACAACAACAGACAACAATCAGAATAAATGGGAGGAACGTGAAAGAAACAACCTCCTTCACATACATACCTGGGAAGCATCGTTTCAACTACAGGTGAACGGAACTGATGAGGATATCAAAGCAAGAATCAGAAAAGCAGAACAAGCTTTCACTACTCTCAAGTCTGGGTGGAGGACAACAGCACTCAGCATCAAAACGAAGATAAGATCCGGATTTTCAACTCCAGTGTGAAGTCAGTCACTGCTACTATACGGATCAGAGACTTGCACTGCGCGTCAGAAAGAGCATCTCAAACAAATTACAGACCTTCATTAACAGTTGTCTTCGCTCAATAATACTCAAGATCAGATGGCCGGCCAGAAAAGATCAGCAACAGAGATCTCTGGCAATGAGTGAACCAACTCAGCAGGAACCGATTGTGAAAGAAATAGACAGGCAGGAAGAAATGGAGATGGATTGGCTGGCCATACTCTGAGAAAACAATGCATCAAGTGACATCACTAGACAAGCCATTGCTCGAGTGGAACCCGACTGAAAGGGAAGCGGCGAGTTGGTCGTCAGTGCAAGGGTGAGGGTGACTTGGAGGAGGTGATGTGAAGAGGAGATGAAAGCGTGTGGGCAGACTTGGAGACAGGTGAAGACTCTGGCAGAGAACCGAACGCAATGGAGACGTACTGCTGAAGCCCTATGTTCCTCTAAGAATTAAAGGAAACGATAATAATAATTAGGTGTCTTTTGACGTGTACAGGAGCTTCGAGGAGGCCTTGAATTTGCTAGGTTGACGATGGGGCGTGCTTTTCGTCTCATCTGAGACTTATTAGCTGGACAGAACTACATACTCAGTGAGTGACAATGTTCTCAGTGTCACTCGAATTCAGCACCAAATGTTTCAAAACGTCAGTGTTGGCTAGCATCAACCGAGAAAATTCACTTAAAAAGATACGAATCTAATGAAGGATATGAATTCACTGATTATTGACAACAGCAGTCCTCGTTCCATACTGAAGATCAAATGACCAGAGAGGATTAGGAACGAGAAACACTGGAAACGAAGCAACCAAGATCTTACCAGCCAACAAATATGCCTATAGGGCACATGCTTAGGAGACTGTCGGGTTATATCGCCCTCCAGGCCATCGCCCGGGTGGAATCCGACTGGGAAACGACGAGTTCGATGTCCGAAGATGACATGGGGGAGATTGTGGGAAGAGGAGATGAGAACTAATGGACAACAGTAGAGCCGGCTAAAAATGACTGAAGACAACAGGATGATATTGTTGAAGCTCTGTTTTCTACTTTGGACCTGAGGGAATAATAAAAATAATTTACAGCCAACAAATTAAATCACGCTGTGTGTTAATCTATGAAAATAAAGTTAGATAAATTCACTCGATACAACACATGGTGAGTGATACATTGTTGATATCTCGAAGACATCTCTATGAGCACAATTTACTGCTGCTCATAATTATATCACCATATTCACACGACTTGTTATCTTGCTTTACAAAATCCTTGTCCTGGCTACTTTTCACTGAAACTTTTCATGTATCCAGTGTAGGCGGTGTTGTCAATTTGACTAAACATGTTTAGTGATGATTCGACCAACAAAGTTCTCGCGATTAATTCCCTCTCCACTGATTAAATTACTTTTTAATACTTTTACTCTATCCCATACTGTCTTGTGGTTTCACGCAAATGAATTCATTGCATCTGCTTAGTTTAATTCCGGCTTGTTGAACTTAGTAGGGTGAGTTGTTTGAGCTCTAGCTAAATCACTATGTTCCGTTAATCAAAATGACCTCCCTCTACTATTCTGCCCTATGTAACTGACCCCACTGTCAATACATATTATTTGATAGATTATATTATTGTTCCTATTAGGTCTACTGGGTTCTTAAGCTATGGAAGTTTGTCTCTTCGTGAGTTGGTTGGTTTAAATGTCAGCCTAATTCCAGTGTTGCTAGGATTCTTACTTTGGGTTTCTAATAAAGCTTCTTTATATGGCAGTACTATCTAGGTTTTGAATTCCTTATCATTTACATTGCTAGCATAATTTCCATTACAGCTTTTATTTCTCTTATGCTTCTTTGGACATTTTTGAATAAATTCTAGTGGGCAGTTATTCACTAACAATGTTTTTCTTGATTTCATTATCTAAATCTTCTGCTTTACTAGTCATGCTCTTGGCTTGATTATATAAACATTGTATTAAACTTCTTTTTACCGACGCTGGGCAGGATAAATCAAAGTCTAAGTATTTATTAGAACGCGCTGGTTTCCCAAAGATACTATTGTCTAATACGGCATCTGATTTTCGTGTTATTTTATAGTCCTGCAGCAGCAACATCCAGCGCCAATCACCATCAACGGAAGGAGTTTGAAAGAGGTTACTTCATCCATTCACTTACCTAGGGAGCATTGTCTCAACTACAGGCAGGTGGAACGGAGGAGGATGTCACATCGAGAATCAGGAAGGCGAAAAACACATTCATCAACCTGAAAGCAATCTGGAAATCTTCGTCACTCAACCCAGCATCAACAACAAAATTCGGATTTTCAATACAAACGACGTCAAGTCAGTCAGTTCTTCTATACGGATGGATCAGAAACTTAGCTGCGGGTCACAAAGGATGAGTATTTCCAACAGCCTGTTGCAGACCTTCATCAACAGCTGTCTTCGCTCTATACTGAAGATCAGATGGCCGGGAAGAATCACCATCAAGAAGCTATGAGAACAAACAAAACAAGAACCAATCGCCCAACAAATATGCAGGAGAAAGTGGAGATGGATTGGACTCTGGCTAAGGAGGCCGCTGGGTGACATCGCGCGTCAGGCCAACGCTCGAGTGTAACCCGAAAGGGAAGCGGCGAGTGGGACGTCAGTGCAGGGGTAACATGGAGGAGATCGTGTGAAGAGGAGTTGAAACAGTATGAATTAACATGGATGCAAGCGAAAAGTACAGCAGAAGACAGAAGCAAGTGGAGAGGTGTAGTTGAAGCCCTATATTCCACTAGGAACCCAAGGGAACAATAATAATAATATGTCTTCAACAGTGTTCGGAGTATACACTTATGTTAATGGAAGATTGTATGCACTTTCTACGCACTCACACAGTCAAACAAGGTCAAAGATAGGAAAAGGTCAACTATTCCACTGATCCACTATCCCAAAATTATCTTCAGCTCTTTGTTTATTATATTATAAACGTAGCTTTATGCATGTTAATGAAGTCAGTTTTGTGATAAAGAGATTTGCGTGCGTCTGTCAATTCAGAGACGTACTTAGGAAGCTATCTATTATGTGTTCATATTTTAATAAATATTATTTGCAGAATGGTGGATACTGTCCAGATCTATTCAACTTTCTAGTACTTCTTCTACCCTGATCTTTTTGTAACTGAATTCAACTTAAAAGCAGTTACATAATTGTAAACACCCTGGAAGTTAACACTTATATTGTTCTGGTGTCGTACATCGATAGAAAATTAGGTGGACCTATCAGAATTAGGTCCAATTCCTCTACCTCAGCAATATTTATTTTTCTTAGGAAGTACAACACGTAAAAATTTCGACTTGATTTCCTAAGGTCCTTTAAGTTCATACATACAGTGAGTTTTGTTTTCAAACGTAACACATGAATATAAAATAAAAGTTGAGGTTTTAGTGATTTGACTGGTTTTAAAGTATATTACAGCCACTAAAGAGCCTGAAATACTGAGAAACTCCTCCATAGTAATTCTCGTGTTTTCAGCCGTTCGCACATATGAAATCAAGAATTTTAAGATTGACTCTTTATTGCATTATGACTACGGTTAGATTCTTTGCAACAGTGAATTACAATTTAGTGACTAAATGGGTGACTTACTTTCCCAGTAACCTGAAGGTCCTAGGTTTTGTTTCGAGTAGAAGCTTGGATGTGAAGTGATGAAAAAGGATAAACCTGTTCGCTGCTTGCTAGTTTCCTTTGATTTCACCAGTGGTGTCTCTTCTACCGCTGAATCAAAGTCTCCTCGAATCTGAAGTAATTTAATAACGTCTTGGTCACTCTCATATGAGTTACGAAGACATTCCTTATGGCTTCACTTTTTGTATTTTTATTTCTATAGTGGAATGTGAATTTAATGTTCATTGGAATATTGTGCAATTATTCGTGAGTCAATGTCTCAATCGTAGGTAGAGTGCTCATCAGCTATGCGGGGCTTCAGCTTTGATCTCCACCTGACGCCCTCACATACCTGGTGTAGTTCACCAGCCGGTAGTAAGCCTTGAATGGAGGTGAGGCTAGATATATAACTGTCAGTCTAATCGTAGAAGATAGAACAACAATACAACTGCATGAACTTCAAAGATTACAGCTTGAATTCCTGTATTCCACCCGAAATGCAAGGAAAAATAAAATGCAGTCAAATAAAGACGTGAGTGTGGTTTGGATACCCTACTGACAAAATCTTCGAACAATTAAGTTGGTGAAGCAGGTCTGTTTCTCAACCAGGAAGCTAATTACCTCAACATTGTGTGTACCTTTGGCTGATAAGTGCCGACATGCATAAAATCTAGGTTAAATACACTCTCAAGCGGGTTGACGTCTAACGTCTTACATTAAGAAAAACTCTGTTGAAGTTATACATATTTTAAATGAATTTAAAAAGCGCACAGTATAACCACCAGTTTGTAAAGCCGGTCTCCTTATCCGTATATATATTGATATTTTATCTTTCAAGGTAATGTTACTCTCTTGCCTACATCTCTCTTTTCCACTTTTTTCTCTCTCACTCTGTTATTTTAGGAGTCAGCATTTTTAAGTTTAGGATTTCTACGGCTTTTTCGTGCAGCACGTTTAATCAAATTACTACGTCAAGGTTATAGTATACGGATTATCCTATGGACATTTATTCAGTCAATCAAAGCACTGCCATATGTCTGCCTACTGATTACAATGCTATTCTTCATTTATTGTATTATTGGCATGCAGGTAAGCAGTAAAGAATTGTCAATTATTTAGAATTAACAAGGAGATTTTCGGCAAATCATGTTTTTTCTCTCTCTAAGTACTCTGACTACGTTAGTAGATGGATTCCTAGGCGACACTGTCTGTCGTAAAGACCCCCTGAATGTTTGTATCACTCGGAATCAGTTGATAAAGTCTAAGAATGAACACGAGTGGTCTTTTACTTTCTTTTTTTTTGAGAAATTATGTCATTTCAGTAAAGTTAGCCAAACAAATGACAACCTGTCATTTAGGTTGACTGATTTTTTAAGGAAAATCTCATACATATAAACAATCATATTTGAAAATATCTCATCTACAAATTTCTCTTAGCATAAAGCATCCAGTTTATACTTTGACTTTCTATGAATTATCCATTCATTTTAAACTTGACTATGAAGACAGATTCAATTGAAATGTATATGTGAAGTAACTACTGAGATATATACTACTACTACTACTACTAATAATAATAATTTGCTTTATTCCAAAACAGTACATGTGATACAGAATGGAATTCTCAGCATTTTTACTACAGTATTGCATCCAGTTTGTACATTAACAATAAATAGAATTCTACATAGATTAAGGGAATCTCAGTTCATTATGACGACAACATATTGGCATGTTGGTAGTAAAGGTAAAGCTGAACAGTGTTTGAAGGCGTTAGAAGAGTAGGAGCTGTCATATTTACTGGCGTAAGCGAGAGAAAGAAACAAAGCAGCACATAACGGAAAGAAAGAAAAAAAAGAGAGAGAAAAGGAAAAGAAAGAAAGAAAATATTGTACCTATAAATGATATGAGTTGGAAAGACGAGATCCAGTTGTACTACTGACTATTCAATGAATTATAGTTGTCACGCCTAATGCTTTCTTTATCACACAGAACACGAGCTAAGTAGGGTATGGTTGAGTTTTTGTACTTGCTGGTGCGAGCATATAGTTTTCTATATAGGCTTCTGGTTTTGCCTGATGAGATGCAAGGGGAGAGTTGTGAGTGAAGAGGGTGGTGTGAGTTAGATAAAATGGATTTCGCCCATTTTTCACATGAGTCCATGTGCCTGTCGACCAGAATATTAACAAGCTGGTTAAGTGGCACGTTGCTTACCCTGCTGACAACCTTTAACATCCTGCGTAATATGATGTTATAGTCTTTCTTCAGTATTTCGGGAAAAACTAAGGGGAACAATAGAGAATAGTAGGCAGAATGCGAGAGTTAACGAATTGTAGGAGTATGGGTTGGGTTATACCAGAATGTTTTAACTTCTTGATGTAGAAGGTAAGACGGAATATTTTCTTAGAAATCGCCAAGATATGAGACGACCAGGAGAGATCAGCAGATAGAATGACGCCTAAGTATTTAATTTCCGACTTGGTTTCTATTTCAGTGCTGTTGATGTTGCACACCTCATGAGAGCCAACCAGTTTGTTTAGGTCGGATTTATGCGTAAAGGTGAAATTGACTGTTTGGCATTTGGAGGGGATTAGGGTAAGACCGTTTTCATTGAACCACTGGCTGATTTCAGAGAGAAAGCCATTAAGTTTAGAGCAGTCGCTTTGACATTTGATAGGCAAAGATACTGTCAGGTCGTCAGCATATTTGACAAAATTGATGTCATTTGAAGATGGTAAGTCATGTAGAAAGAAAGAAAAGAGAAGTGGGGAGAGTACAGCACCTTGGGGGACACCAGCTTCAGGGAGCACAGCAGAGGAGGATTTACCTTTGTATACGGTGTACTGCATTCTGTTAAAGAAGTAGGAATGCAGCCAGTTAGTGACCCAGGATTCAGTTCATGAAATATATTGATGTAAGAATGCATTTTGTAGAAATAATAAGATTAGTAAGCAATTAAAACACTACACAGCAAGGAGATGATTATTTTTTAAGATAATATACAACTTGATCAGAGACGAAACCTGATACAACCACTCACCACTCGTATTCAACGCTTATATATTTCTGATGCCGTGGATCAAAATTTAAATCTTCTTAGAAGAATCGTGATCGAAAATGGATTTCCTACACGTTCTGTTACACAGGCACATACAGTTAAAACATACAAAATGTGATTTAACGTCTATAATCAAGAAAATGCTGTGTATGAACCTTGATTTCAAAGGTGAATTAGCTACAGGCTTTCTTAAAAGAAGGATCTCACAGTCTTTGAAAGGGACATTTGCTGTTCAATAACCTAAAAGGCAAGTTCCCGAAGTTGGCCAACTCCGTGTACGTTTATTAATCTCCCCGCTCTAAGGAAGCTAGGCATATGAGTCGCTCGACGAGGTTTTGCGTCTCAGAGGGTGCAAGAACACTATGCTGCGTCGTTAAGAATAGGTGGAATTAGGGCTATAAAAAGCGCATTAATTGAACATTTGGTCGATAATGATCACCTTATCTCTACAGCCTCCACCCTTAAAGTCATCTACAAGGCAAAAAGTAATTTGTTCAAATCATCACTTATCCGACTCATCTGATTCGGTGAAGCTTTGGCTATCGAAGTATAAGGGGCAGACCCTTATATACAGAAAATGTTTATTTAAACTCTCCTTCTTGTGTAGCCTTAACCCGTCCTCTTTCATACTTTGGCACTACTTACTTTTCATTTTCTTTATTCACTTTGTATATTCTTTCTTTATTATGTCGATTTTTGTTACTAATTTCACTCTGCACATTTTCTAGTATTGTAAGGCCTGTCACCTTTATTTATTTAATACAGCATAGTTTTCTGCAATATTGTCTTATCGTAATTCTCACTTAACTGAATAATGTTCCAAACGTGAACTAATCTTATTATATCTGCATACTCCTTTGAGATTTACGCATTTCATGAACTGTTTGATAAAGTACAATACCAATTATATCTTGTCACCCTTCATGTGATTATTAAAAAATGCATCTATCTAATTTTTTATGGTACAGTTTCATTTCACAGTGATCACAGTGAGAGTGAATAGAAGATAGCTGTAAAGCACTTTAGTAAATGAATAGTGTAGTGTTCTTCGTAAATATTCTTCTCAAACTACCTTTATTTTAATATATTCAACAAATTTAGTTAATTTAGTTTGAGGTTATTTGACTAACTGATTGGTTTCAACGCAGGACTTTGCACAAATGTGCAGTAGTTCGAGTTGCCATCCTCCATGTAGCACACAAAGCAAGAGAAGAGAGTAAATAGAGATTCAAAAGAGAGATACTAAACAGAAGTGTGAGGGAAAGAGAACAGTAATATGGAAGAAAAATAACGTTTTATTGGATATAATAAATCACAAAGAGTGAATGCATTTGCTCCATTATGTACAGCTACTCTGAAGTGACTGAATTAATTCCAATGTGAATCATTATTAAATTTTTGTATTTCCCAATGAATAGAGAACAAAACGATATTGTTTTTCTCACTCAAGTGCTGCTGCTAGTAGCTTTATCAAAGTGTTATTAAACCAGAATTTACAAAATCTCAGCTAATATGTAACAACTTATTCATCGGTCATCAGCATGGGGTCATTTTTGTGTTGTCAGGTTGGCCAGTTGATAAAGATAACAAAATCAGGTGTAGATTGTTGTATTTGATGAGTGTTTAAGATTATCAAATCAGCGTGTGTTTACATAATGAAATTTCTTATCATATTCGCGTTGATTTTGTCATTTCATGGGGGAAGAGGGTGTTGTAACCAGGTCAAATTCAGTTTTGATCCATCATTCGTATTCAGATAATTTGAATTCCATTTGACATCGAATGCTTCTGATATCAGACGTTCTTTGTGATTTCCGAATTTTTTTCTGGATTATTTCAATGTAGTCAAAATCAATTTTGTGACCTGATACTATAGCGTAGCGTGTGGACCTATGACCGATGACTTCTCAAGCTTTTTTAATTCGACTGGATTTCTCCGTGGTCAAATAGATATTCTACGGTGTTCACTTCTGATTTTGATATCTCAGGAAGTATGTCTGATGTGTATCGCTGATGGAAGATGATAAAGTTGTTATATATAAGCTGAGGTTTTGTAAATTCTAGTTTAAATGACACTTTGATGAAGCTGTTAGCCGAATTAAATAGTGAAACGTCAGTAAAAACAATATCGTTTTGTTTTTCATTCATTGGGAAATACAAAAACCTTTGTTATAATGAATATCATATACCCAATGCCCAAATTTTTCAAACTATTGAAAGTGAACTGGGTTTGGACTTATATAACCCAATGTAAATTATATTAAAATGAAGGAATGTTAGGAACATTGGAAACGTATTAGGTGGAGGACACTCAACAACTTCTTGAGGACTTCTCAACGATGTGTAAACATTACCCTACCACAGTGTGGGACTACGACCTTCAAAATGAGATGCCAGAACGCTTAACCACTTATATAATATTTGTGGATATTTGGTGGGGTCGAATGCACATACTCTGTTGATAACTTCCAAACTAGAAGGATTTAGGTGTTTACTGGTGATAAACTTCACACTGAGATATATGGGATGTGTTGAAATTGCTGATTTCCAACATGTCTGTGGTATGATTACTTGGATTATGATTAGAGGAACAGTTTGTTCATAAACACTGACACAAAACTAGATAATTAACTATAATATTGTTTTGTACTGTTTCATTCTAAGATATTTATAAACTGATAAACAGAGGGGGTACAGAAGGTATCTTACATTATTTGTGCTGATAATTAAAGTACTTGACAAATATTGAAAAAAGTATTCCCATGTCACATGCCGTTAAGTTGTATAAGTTCTCAATGAAAAAGAATAGGAGGTAAAGGATTGTTAAAGCACGATATCACGTTTAAGAAGAAGACAGGGGAAGAATCCATCAATAACTAAACTACTTTTAATGTAAGTTGCATAGTTTGTAGTGAATCAGATCAGTGATCAAATTTAAGCGAACCAGTTCTATTGGGTTGCTATTCTATTCCCATCTCAAATCTGTTGTGTTTTGACGGTTAGTCTCAGTTTTCTATTGGTACAATCATTATCACATCGAAACTTTCGGAATATCAAGTGACACTGAAGACTGAAATAGCTGTATGTTTACAACTTTAGATTTGTTTCAGTCACATTATCAATAGTATTTAGTAGAAGATCAAATTGTATTAAGAATAACGTATTGCTTGATCTGTCCACTCACTGAACAAGTATCCGATATTCATTGAATATCACACAAGAATTTTACTTGAAATGGTTTCTTCTACAAGATGAGTTTCAACAAAGCTGATGCACGCCAACACCTAATGACAGGTATTTTCATCATGCATGATTCATTTTCAAGAGTTTTCAACAAATCAACGAATTTTCTTCTGCAGAAAGTAAAGCTTTATTCTCTGAAATACTAACCTTCATTGCCTAGTGAATTTCATTCTGATATTTTACCTGTACACACATTTATAAATTTATCGTATGCTGTTTTCATTTCATAATCACTTCGTATCTTTATTATTTGTTTTTGAAGGTTTTTGGGAATATCAAAACTGATCCTCATTCTCAGCTAAATAATCATAATAATTTCCAAACATTTGGAGATGGAATACTGTTGTTATTCAGGTGAGTTATTTTTGGTTTTTTAATGAGGTCATTACAGCAGTAGTTTGTTTGAGAAAAATAGTTAAAACAGCTGAGAGCTTAAACTGCATCAAATATCTATCGAATATACACCTCCGGATGAAGTCTAACTGTCGATTCCTTAGAAGATTAGAAGTATTCACATAACTATGACTATTATTATTCATTCCTGGCGTTTCGCATGGAAGATGGGGCTTTAGAGGTATACCTTAATTGTACAGAGTTCTCTGCCAGCACTTTTAGTGTCCTCTACGGTTGCCTAAAAGGTTTTATTTGTCCTTCATATAATCTTTCCCACCTTAAGCTCAGACGTCCAACCGACCGCTTCCCATTGAGGTTCTACTTGAAATAGATCAGTGTTGTCAAGTTTCCAGATATGTGGAGATGCTTTTTTACTGCATAAAGGCGTTAGCCCCATGTCTAATCTCCTCTCTTCCCTAGGCATAGGAAAGGTTAGTAAACTTGCCGAGGTTAGATGTCAGTATATGATCTGCTGCGAGTCGTAAGGGAGTTAAAGTAGAATAAACTGGGAAACGGTATGACAAAAAGATATCGTGACATCTCGTCATTGGCTTGCAGCAGATACACACTCACCTACCACCGTAAGTCATTACAAGATGAGTAGAAGTAACATGGTTTGTCATACATTTATGTGAACAAAAAGAATCTACGCCGTGATGAATAAAAAATGAAACCTTTTTCAGGAATATTTTTACTTGCATATACTCTGGACGAAGTATGAAGCAAGGAAATCAAAAAGAGACCTAAGTCATGCTTCACTGTGATAGGTCCTATACACCAGTGGCATTTAAATCTCCGTTACAAGGTAAAATACATTTGGAAATATTGTATCACACGGTAAACTTCATCGTCAGACGGAACTACATGAAAAACTACAGTGGTGAACAAATGTTCAGTAATTAATTTGTATATTTTTACCGCAGCATCAATCTATTATCTGAATATAGGTTGAGCCCATTGTCATCCATCCAGTGTATTACAGCCCCTTAGCCCACGACATTTAAACCCCACTAGTTTGTGATATTTTACCATCACCATCACCAAATATCATGGGTCAGGAACTATCTTCACATAGGACTTTGTGAAATACACCAGTAACAAACGTGAGACAACGACAATATATGGCTAATATTTAAATATAAAAAATCAAAACAAAAGATTCAGCGAAGAGACTCTTTTCAACGAATTTATCATCAAGCTGTACAATCGTATATATATGGTTTTTAAGAAGTTATATCCGGTGAGGGAAATGAATCATAGGTGTGAATGCATAAAATAGTAATAATAATATGAAATGTAATTAAAACTAAAATGTTTGTGATTATAATCGTAGTTAAATGTCAAGTGGCAAAGCAAATTAATGTCATATATAGAATAATTCATAGGATGGATAGAACTTGATAAAGGTTGTGCAATTATAAGATTAGTAGACAAATCGAATAAAATAAAAACGTTACGTAATATTGTGTGAAATTCAATAACATAGAATTTAATATTGTAAAAAGGAATTGATTTAGAATGACAAGTGGAACAAGTGAAATAATACTGGGGACAGTTCAAAGTGAGAGTAGTAATAGTAACAATTGACTTAATAAGGAAGATTGTACAAATCGAATAGACAAAAATGAAAAACTGGTAGAGCTAAAATATGATTGGGGATTACCATACCTTATCATAGAGGGATTAAGACCATGAAAGCTGGAGGGGTTGAACGAACATTTTCTGTACACAGAGATCTGACTTTTCTGTTTCGATAGCCAAAGCTTCAGCAATACAGATGAGTCGGGTACGCAGGGATTTCGGTAAATTACTCTTTGCCTTGTAGATGACTTTGAAGGGGGAGGCTAAAGAGATAGGGTGATCATTATCGACCAGATGTTCAATGATCGCGCTTCTTATTGCTCCATTTCCACCTTTTCGTAACCATGCAGGATAGTGTTGTTGCACCTTCTTGGACAAAACTCATGTTGATCGACCGATATACCTAGCTCCACACGAGCAGGTGAATCGATAAACACACATAGAGTTGGTCAACAAGGGGATCTTGTCCTTCAGGTTATTGAACAATAATGGTCGACTAGTAAAGGCTATTCTCAATGATGCAGCAGGGACTGTGATATCCTTCGTTTCATGATATCTGAAGCTAAGTCCCCTTTGAATTCCAAGCTCATGTAAAGTATCTTCTTGGGTACGGCTGATAAGTCACGTTTTTTAGGATTTGAATGTATATTCGTATCTATAAAACGTGGTGGAAATCCATTTTCTATTAGGATCTTCCTCAAGATACATAGCTCATCTTCTACAGTATCAGGGCTACATATGCGCCGAATACGAGTGGCAAGCGACCGGATCAGGTTTCGTTTTCGACCAATGGGTACCCAGCTGTAGAAATTTGTCAGTTGACCATTGCATGACAGCTTACGATAAATCGATCTTTTCAGAGTTCCATCGGTCTTCCTTGATAAGTTCACATCGAAGAAATGAATGCTAGACTCGTTCTCCATTTCCAGTGTGAATTTTATCGCCGGATGGCAACCGGATATAACTTCTTAAAAGCCATATATATACGATTGTACAGCTTGATGATAAATTCGTTGAAAAGTGTCTCTTCGCTGAATCACCACTTGTTTTGAATTTCTATATGTTACAATGGGAATTTTCCATGACTTAAAAATATGGAAATAATCAAACAACCATAGTAAATTCATACAGAATATGGTAGAAATTTCGATAATAATAAGGATAAAAAGGGTGCCACGATACTCGAGATTTCAAGTAGGAGTTGTAGGTGTAAGTAAACTGTTATGTAAATAAACAAATTTATCCATAGAATCATAACACAACTGTGTGAGCAAAACAAAAGACTCAAAATCAAATGAAAATAACAACGTGTACTCACCAATGTCGTATCAAGCTGATCTTTCTTCATATCACAGTTAGGGTGTATTCGTTTGGTTTATGAAAAACGATGTATCCATGGCTTTCACTATACATGAGTTTCCTTTGTAGCCTAAATGACGTCAACTGTACTTTCTGTGTTGGTTAGATTCCTTTTGAAAATGCTTAAGAAATCTAGCCGATTCTTTCCAGTTAGTTTTTTCCATGTACTCACTGATCTCTGATGAAATCTCAGTGCGAATACAGAGGACTAGTTTCGCATATGCCAGTTTACGCCGTCTCTGGCGTAGACGCGATATCCGACTATCGACCAAAGGGCGTGTGTACTGCTAAGCAGTCCGCTCCGTCCTCCTTTATGGCTGTGAGACCTGGCCATTGAGAGCGGAAGATATGGAAAGATTAGCTGTCTTCGATCATAGGTGTCTGCGTTCTATCTCCCGTGAGAATTAGTATAATAAAGTGAGCAATAAAGAGGTTAAGCGTCGAGTGCTAGGTAAGGAGGGTAAATCAATAGACAAGACTGTGAAACTACATCGACTGAGATGGTTAGGACATGTTTTACGTATGCTTAGTCATCGCCTTCCTCGACGGGCAATGTTAGCTGATATAGGGCCAGGCTGGAAAAGAGCTAGTGGCGGTCAAACCAAAACATAGCTTCAACAGTCAATGAAATCTACAACAGTTAGTCTAAGCCACTTAGGAAGGTGTAGACCGGCTTCCTGGTTGGGGTCCTCGGGACGGTAAAAACCAATGGTTGGAAACAATTGGTGACATGGCTCAAAATCGTTCTCAACGGCTGGCGCAGATGCATCCACTCCTTGTGACTTATGATTTCCAATTAAACTGTTTTGATCTTCGTTATTACTATTCCTTTGTCTCACACCTCTGTTTACTGTGTATATTATGCATTTCTCCTACTTCCTTCTCTTCCTTTGTGTGCTACATGGAGTGTGGCGACTTGAACTGGCGCACATATGTGCAAAGTTCTATGTCGAAAACCGACCGACCGACCGATGTACCCACTTTTAGAAGCACATGAAGGCCGGTACATGAGGTCGGAATCGAAATAATAAATATTCACGGGAGTCACGAGCATTTTTTATCATAAAGTGCTGTTTACTTGGTCACAAAAAACTTCCTTTTCAGTTCACGTTTCGCTTTTTCCGTATTTTTACTGATATTTCTTTGTCTTTGCTTTTATTCATATGACGAAGGCTTATGAATAGATTTGGGGAAACTCAACGATCTATTCTCAACCTGCTACTCATTAGTAAGTAAGGTCAGGATGGTATTGTTGAAGTTCAAAAGGAAATTTGTGCGAAAGGAAATGCTTATTGATAATATTGAATATCAGTGGTTAGACATTTGAAAGTAATAAAGTTAACAAATGTGTCTCATTGTGTTGCTATTCACATAATTGGTGAGTAGTAACGTCTTCAATTCATTATATGGAGGGCTTATTACTTAACCTCGAAATCAACCAGTTAACCACTAAACCAAGAAGGTAAATAAGGAACATCTTTGAGGAAATTTGTTTCTAGAGTTTTAGTTTTCACTTCCATGACGTGAAGTGGGAACATTACATATTGGTATATAAATATTTATTCAGTTTAGAGTCTCCAGGCATCAATAAAACTCTAGGATACCTAGTTTTCATATGTTTTCAAAGAGAAACTATGACTCGGTTAAATGTCCATAATCTTTCCAACAGGGGGGTGTACGGGACTACCTGGATTTGTCCCTGTTGTCAGGTTAACTTTATCCACGGAGACTGTGTATTATGAGCCTGATCTCGCACTTATTAGAGTCTAGTTAACTCAACGTGAGGATGGGTGTTCAGTCCTGCTGACGATTTGTCGGTTGGATCCATATATATGTATGTCGTTCTTCGAATAAGTAGTGCATATAAGCCAATAAAACCACAAGACTACAACTGTGAATTCAACTGAAAGGCGACGATAAAGCTGCTGTAATAATGAGCAAGTAAAAGTTCAGCGTCACTTCCTCAAATTCGTTAACTATCACTTCTATACCAAAAATAAATTTTTCTATATTCCTATGTG